TAGATTGATTGAGAATGTGCCATCTTCTACATCAGTTTGGTCTTCTATGAAGAGTGGAGATGACAGGAGGGGTGTAACAAGAGTCCTGTGAAACCACACCACAGTCTCTTCATGACGTTCATCCACTGAAGTTTGTTTCAAGTCGAGGTTGAAGATGTAGAACTCAAAGAGGCCATCGCTCACAAAACTCTGAAATTGATTTCAGTTAGATGCAAGTCAAATATACAGGAGACTTTTATAGTCAAGTGTCTTTACCTTCCTGTAGCCTCCTTCAGCATTATAAGGGATCCCGATTTGGACAGTCGAGTTAGACCTTCCCATAATAAATCCCTTCTGCGCCGCAGCTGCCTGGTCCATAAGGTTACCATTGAGGCCAAAACTAATCTGTGTTTTGCCAAGACTGGGATAGAGTGCTTCTGGAGTGTCCCAGATCATATAGCCACTGTCATATGACCCTTCATCTGTTGGAGAAAGTGATTTTACCAAACTGTACAGCTTTGTAAAAACAGCTAAGTTTACACCCCTTGGAGCAAGCAGCAATCAGGTCAACCATAACGACAACCCAGCTTTTCTGCGAAAACAATGTTGCACGGACCACCTCCACTGGAATCCCAGTCACCTAAGAAGACATGGTGGTTCAATACCATGTTGGTAATAGGACATTGCAAGTAGCTGGAAAGGGCCGTCTACCTCAGTATGATAGGAATCAAGTTGACCATACGGCGTACGAAACACAATCCTGTCATGGACAAGATCAAATATGTAGCCTTGCTGTCGGGCTCGAGACAGATTCATGGGTGGCAACTGCTCATCTGGATTTTGAAAAGTCACCTGCCAGTCTTCAGTGGAGGGACTGTAAGGCTGTAGAGACAGACAATTAGAAATTTGCTAATCCAGAAAACCAATTGCAATCATTGATACATACAGGGCCAAGTATGCTCCAGACGTCACTTAACCCAGATTGGCATGGAAGTTCACTCCTTACAGAAACCTGCAGCAACATGATTAGAGGGTTTAAAGACAGGAGTGAGGGCTTAAGGAGGGAGGGAGACTTGACAAAGACACACCTCCATGTAGTTGACCTCACAGGTGACCTCTCTCGGTGACCAGGGCAGAGGGGATGAACAGGTCTTATTGAGCGCATAGTAAGCATCTACCCCTTTATAGGTAGTTATCAGGTTAAATCTGAATGAAAAGCCAGCACCCTGAAACAGAGTTGTAAATATTAGCCAGGATGCACAAGGAATCTTCTCTAAAGGTCAGGAAAGCTGGTTTCTTTCTGTACCCTCTCAGTGTGACAACTGAAGTAGGATGCCCTGAGCTCTACAAGGCCCAGGAGAGAGAGAATGCTGATAGTGTAACCACACTTTGCTGCATAATGCTCAGTGATGGCATATGTGCCTGTTCCATCTGAGAGAAACATCAAGCAAAGACATTTCATGGGTTAAGCAATCAGTTATAAACATGTTCAGCTTACTTTGTCTCAAACCATTGCCATTCTCACTGCTACAAGCTGCAGCAGAACAGGAACACTAACCTACAGCCTCAAAGCGAGGAACTTCTCCAGTGGCAGCAAGGTCAACAGCTATCACAAAGTAACGATCACGACACTCTAGTCGAAGAACGCCTGTGGAAACACACAAGTTGTAGAGAACTCTTGTCTTAGAGCGTCACTGTGGGATAGAAAAGGATCTACCAACCTTCCACGAGGAAGTCACATTCTGCAGTGGACCACAAGGACAGCAGTAATGCCACACTGTAGTTACAAAACAAAAAATGAGAAAACAGCTCAAAAATCTAAACTTGATGTGCAATCAACCACAACAACCTACCTAAACATCAACTTGAAAGCCATAGTTGTTGATGTGTTGGTGTCTACAGCTAGCTTCATAGCTAGCAAACTACACCCACTGACCAATACAAGCACAAGTGAACCACTTGTTTCTCACCAGACATGCACCATGTCTGTCCTCTGCCCAGCTTTTTTTGTCCACAAAGCAACGAACGATCTGCCTCCCAAGGTGCAGCCTGTCAGTAATTAAATCAGACAGAACAGCTGCTGCCAATGTGAATGGCAAACTTTGTCCAGTAGTAGGAACTCAAATAAGCCACTATTGTAATTCTGTTTTCTTAAAAAGAAAAACATTAGATCAGTTTAGAAGCTAAACAATTATTTGGCAACAAAATGATCAATTAACAATAATTAATAACTGTTAATTATTGTTTTCTGTTCTGACATGTGACATATATACTGATAGAAACACACATTTTAAAAATGAATAATCTCTTGCTTACATTTTCAACTTTTCCAAAGGTTTAATATTGAAAAATTTCTGAACTTTTAAACATGTATTTTGATAGTAATGCTATCATGCTGTCTTTATCATCTGACTTCAGTTATTTCTTCATTAATTTGCCCTTCATGCTGTTCTGTCCCAAATTTTATATGAGGGAATGAAGCAAAAAAAGGCCCTGAATTAAAGATATTTTAGCCACCAATCATCAGAGTGAAAATGGAGAAACCATCGGTTCTTTCAAACAGCCACTGACACAGAACAACCAGCAGGGGGCAGCAACGCCAAAGAGGACTGGAGCCAATCTTGAGAAAATTACATCAGTTCCCTTTTAAATATTCAGTTCTTCATAAAGAAATATTTTCATACTGATTTGTTATTTACTTACCTTTGTGCTTTTCTTTTAGCAAAATGTATTTAATTGCAGTTAGAACACAAATGTTAATCTTTTTTTTACTTACTAATCAAAACGTATCTACAAAAATTTGTTTTTCAGCTGAGAAATAACTTTGGACACCCTGTCCCCAATTGGTATCCTGACTAATCTCTATCACTTTCATCTGTATGATGTTTTAGGAGTTTCCAGTCGGTTTAAAGTCACCCTACAGCATCAAGATCTGGGCTTTATCTCTGCAAGACTGTCCACTTCTTAACTCTCAGTCAGCCGTGTGGGGATTTACTGATGTTTTGATCAGTTTTATGATGAAGCGTCTGGTTCTATTTCAACTTTTTTTTTCACAGATTGCGCCACGTCTCTGAAACACTGCAGAATTTATGTTGATAAATGAGGGAGCTGACCGGGTCCTGCTGCAAGACATCATCGCCCAGATTTGGACTTCAAAGTCCTGAACCAAGTCGGAGTTGAGATCTTGATCTCTCCTTGGCGTCGTAATTGTGATAAACCCCTCCACCATTTAACAGCCGAGCGTTAGAAGAGACAAGCTTTCCTCAGACTGATGCTAGTGATTAGTTGTTGGCCACAAGAAGAGTTCTGCTGAAGCCATTTCAGAGAAACTGCATTAATGTAGTTGCTTGCTAACTACATGAATGCAATAAGGTCTGTTGACAAGATTATGACATCCACAGTGCTATTATTTCAGAATAGCCAATTTTTACTTTTGAAGTACTACATTGTTAAAGTTCATAGCAATTCTCACGTTCTGGTTCCTCCTAGGTCATAACATTGAAGGGGGATCGTCACTTTCATTTTTCCTCCTACATTGATTTGGTTATCTGCAGGCAGGAGGAGCTTATTCAGTTCCATATAAGTTGCTTTGTGAAAAAAGGAGAAACGTTCAGATGAATAGGAAGAGCCAAGCTGCAAAGGTGAGTATATTTACACCCAAATAATTTTCTCCTGTGCATCATTATGATTGTGTTCAACATTGCTTGTGAGTAATTTATCACGCATAATGATACAGAGGTAATCGTGTGTTTTTCATTAAATAAAAAAACACTTATGATTCAGGGGTGTTTGGGTTAGTCTGTGTGTCTATCCTTATCAGTACATCCCTTTTTATTTAGTTTTATTCTGACTCCTTGAGCATTTGAGCTTTGAGTAGTGATCAGCCATGATGGTGGCTCCAAATTGAGCTCATAGTTGTTACAAGATCAAATCTGGACTTTAGAGGTTAATCCTATTGCTGGCCTAATGTAGGAGGAAAGTTTTGGGGGAGATTTTGACAATTAATAAAATGATTATTATTTGAATGACTAAGAATTTGACAGACTTGTCACCATGTGCGTAATATCCATTTCTGCTTTTCTCCGAAATTTACTCTCAACCACATCAGTTTAAACCAAATCACTCCGACTTTAGAGACAAGTGTGTTTCCTTTGTATCTCAATATCTTTAAGAATATTAACATTTTATGAAGACTCGTGAAAGAAGACGATCTATTAGAAAGAAGACGATCTATTAGAATTAGATGTTGAACATGTGACTGATTTGCTGAACATTTTATAATTGTTCAGAGAAGAGCAACAAAACTACTTGAGGTCCACAACAGGGTTAAAATGAACTGTGTATTAATGTAAAAACAAACCAAATTTCAAAATTGGTGCTACTTTGAAATTATTCTATTATTTTTTGAGAGATGCCTGCATCATTTCCAATCAGAAACAAAGAAGTTGGTTAGATGACAGTTCGGTATCCCACTCTGCTAGAAGTTTGAATAATTAGGGGCCTAATTGATATTTTGGTTATTTTCAGGTTCAAAATCAACAACCAAAAAAAAAAAGCTAAATTATGCAGGTTTGAGCTGGCAGTCTCAGCAACCCAAACATTCACAGTATTTAAAAAACAGAGATTGCCAACACTTCTCCACAACATATGAAAGTAGAAAAATGCATCAAGATGCTTTTTTCAGATATATCAGCCCCAAAATCAGTCTTGTGATACTTTTTCTTTGTATGCATGGTGCAAATGTACAGAGCTGGGTTTGTGCTTTTGTCTAACCAGTATGACATCTGTCAACATATTCATACCAGACTTATCTTTTAGCTAAAGGGACTCTCTGAGGTCAGGATGTGTTGTTCTTATTCTGTATCTGATTTTCTCTGGTTCAAACTGACCCAAAGTCTCCTGTTCTTTGTCACTTTTGTTATTCTTAAGTCTCTAATTTTTTTTCTCTCTTTAACTTAAACTCCCAACTATTGATTTTCAGGTTTTTTTTTGTTTATTTGACATTTGTTTAGTTATTTTTTTGCATTTATTTAATATCACATAGTTTACATTCTGACAAGATTGACAACAATTTTCCAAGGAATATTACAAAACTAACACTTGGAATTTCATCATTTAAAACAATTAGATTCTCTCAAAAGCCAAAACCATAAAGTGGAAGTATAAAAAGTATGAAAGTGTCAGTGTTTTCTTTACATACCAGTCCCAAAATCTGCTTGATGATGCAATGGGTTCTATGCATGATGCAAAGATACAAATCAGGGTGTGTGCTTTTGTTTAACCAATGTGACTGAAAATTCTTTTGCACGCCACAAGATATATTTGCTCTTAGTGATGTAGAAGTAACAGAGAAGTGTAAAACTAACATTTTAAGCTTCAGTGTTGGATGCAAGTTTTGCTTGTGTACCTACACTTTAAACACAAGGGTAAAGAACTGGTAGTGTGGTTTATTATAGTGTTCTGATCATAACTCATTATGTTTTGCTTGTTTCAGTTCAAGATGCCACGTAAAGAGAGACGTCAGAAACAAAAAAGAAAGGATCTGCTAGAAGCAGCAAAAGGTAGTCGATTGTTGACCAATTGGGTCAACTGTGCCAATCATTCACAGTGAAATTAACATTTTTCAAGACATGACCAACAAAAAACTGCCGCTGTGAACAAAAGAGAACAAAAATAGCAAAAAATGCTTAAAAGTTTAAAATTTGTTTTTAAACAGTTAAAAGGCAAGAGACTGAAATAGATAAGACTTCACTCAACACAGAGAAGATGAGACAATGAGGCAAAAAAGAAAAGAGAAACTGACAAGAAAAAAAGAAGAGGAAAGATTGAAGAAAATGTACATAGGTACTTACAAACCTATGTACATTTTTGCTTTTGTTTTTTGTTTTTGTTTTTTTTCCTGCAGTTCCACGTTAAAGTTTGATGCAGCTCTGTTTTTCTGAATGGACCGTCTTCATCGCCACTGCAAGGACAGCAACCCAGGCAGATGTTCTTTGATTGTATGTCTCACAATTTTGTAATCTATCATTGTTAATTAAACTCTGAAAGCTGTGTGACGTTGTTTATATTCTGTCCTAAAATGTGATTAGATGTGCCCCCTTTTTTTTTGGAGCACCTGCCCCTTTAGTGGTCTCTGCACGGCCCTGCAGATTCCTTTCAGTTAAACGATCTTCAAGAAGGAAGAAATGAATGAGGAAGTAAAGAAGGAAGTGTGTAATCACATAATCACGATCAAAAGGCACTGGACGAAGCACAGGAAGGCATCTCTTCATAAACTGTTCACAATTTTGACTCATCGTCACCATGAATGAAGCAAAGAATTCATTTATTAGTCATTCAAATGTGTTATTAGCTTATATAAACCTTCACTAGTTTTCACAAACACCTTGGCAGGATGGACAGCTGTGACCTGATCTTTACTCCTCCTTCGTCCAGAGCTGCTCAGCTGGATGCCTGCCTGGGAAATGCTCCTTTACGTCAAGACATGTTTCACTTAAAAACCGAGTAGTCAGGTTAATCAGAGAGATCCCGTTGAGAAGGAGGAGGAAAAGCTGCAGGAAAGGTCATCGTCTAATTAAAGAGTGTTTCCAAATGACTGCTGTGGAGGAGAAAAATGCTCACATTCGATTTCTCTAAAAAGTAATACCAGTAGTTCGTTTCTTCTTGATTTAAGACTTTTTGCCTTCTTAGAAAAACGTATAATCTTTTTTAAACCATTTGTAATTTTCATCTGCATTATTGTCTGACATCCACCTGCTGACACTAAAGATTGAATCAATATAATCTTTTATGAAGGAAGCAGTGGAAATTTGGCAAATATCCAAGTGAATCTGCTTCAAAGTTTCTACACACTCTTGAAGAGCATTGAATTTCATTGAATGTTTTCAGAGTCTAAAAATCTGGAAAAACTAAAACTGAGAACAGAAAAATACCAGACTTTATTTTTTCTCCCTTATTTAAAGGATAAAAGTCAGAATTCCTGAAAAACAAGTTGTTTTTCCCTATTTATTGTTGGATGATGACTCTTTTCTTTGGTTTGTTCATCACAGCTTGAGTTAGAATTAAAGAAATTGTCTTTTTTTTTGTATTTTCTCAGGTTATCTTTAAAGTTACATGATGCTCTGGAACATTTAAGTGTGACACATGTTCCCAGGTAAGCTGGACCAGAATAAAACTAGAAGCACTCGCAAATCCATGTGGTGTAACATCACTTAAAACACCGTGGAGATCCTTTAGGTGAAAACGTTCCCATCTTTAAATTATCTGCCAACTGGCTCAAAAATAAAAACCACCGGGCTCCTAGGCATCTGCCTTCAGTTTTTCGCTTCTCACAAACGTCTTCACCTTTCTTTGTTTAATTTCTAAATACGAGTCGTGTACTTGCAGCATGACATTAAGGCAATAAGTCCCCTTAAATTTCATCCTCCTTTAACTCAAAGTGATAATGTGAGCGGTGGGCCAGTCGGCCGTCTCCACCCAGTAACATTTGAGTCACATCGGGTCAGGAACAGCGCCGCGCTGCAGGCGGCTGATGGGACCCCGGCGTGCAAAACTCCCAACTGCTGCTAATTATGACAAACATAATTAATATAATTACGTTAAAAGTTTGGGTGAAATGTAAAGGTGTTTCAGTGTGTGTTTAAATCACCCAGTCAATGTTTGTGAGTGTTTTCAGATTTGTCAAAACACTCAGGTCATCTCCTGAGGTCATCTCCTCCACCAATCACAGCCCTGCGTTGGCTTGAGGATGAGGGAGACTTGAAGATGAAGGACTCTATTTATCAGTTCTACACGGCGGCCATCGGCCACACGTCGCTCGACTTGTTGGGAGTTTTCCAGATCCGGGACGGGTTCGGGGTTTGTGAAGATGCTTCGCTCTCAGATGAAGGTGCTGGTCGTGGCTTTGTGCTCCTCTGTGCTGGCGCTCCACGTCAGCTCTGCTCCACAGATGGACGAACTCACGGAAACCCTACAAGCAGAACTGATCGGTGATAAGGTGAGTTCAATAACCGATACATCTGGTCTGATTAGATCGACTCTTAGAAGATACTACGGGCATTTAGTCGTTTTCATTACAATTCTATTTGGACTGTGTTGGATGCAATTTGTTGGAAATTTCCCATTACTATTCAGTCTCTTATTGTTCCTTTTGCTTTTATACTTTTATGCTTTGCATCTGCATGCTTCATTTTTCCTCAATTGCTGCTTGTTTCCCTCAATCTCCACAGAATAAATAGGTGAGTTGGGGATGATGGCTTGGAGGATTACCTTTTCTTTTCCATTACAAAATACAATCAGTAATAAGACAAATTGAGATTCTGCTTTGTGTTTGAAGCTAAAATATTGAAAATAAAGTGGAATGAGGTGGGAATGCTGAAACTGCCTCATTGTTCAGATTTAATTTGGCTCAGGATGTTTGTGCGCTAAAAAAAACAACATCTTTGTCATTAAATGTATTTTATAAAGTACAAATTTACATTTACAAAAGGCATGTCTGTCACATGTCATGTTATTCTGACATTACTAGTGATGCTATTTCTACTCTTTCTAATCTTCTTTTTTGTGTGTGTTATACTTGATTTATTCTTAATCGCAAAACAAAAAAGCTATAACAAATTTACCAAAGAGTTCCTCCACCTTTTTATTTCAAGTGACACTAATATCTGTTTAGAAAAGAGAAAAAATGCCTTTTTGGAGGAAAGGCTGTCAATTTCTAGGTTTGTCCACAACATGGCGTTCGCCATTTGAACAGGACAGCAAACTCAAACTCTTGTAGCAGCAAATGTTGGACAACAGTGTGGGTGAGCTTTTAAAAGAAACTTCCAGGCTGAAATAGTTTTAAAATACATTATTTCCAGTGGAGAATATTAATTTCTGTACCAGAGTTTAGGAAGCAGATGCTTTTTAGTCCTGTGGGATCCGTCTGGGACGCTTTATACATTTAATGCTGCTGACGTCTCTCAGGGCTCAATTACAACCCAATGCTGCTATTTTCAGTAAATCATTTATGTATTAGGGTTGCTGTTCATTTATTCTCATGAAGCAGTCATTTAAGTGTACATAACCCAAAGTACCTAGCACAAATTAGGTTGACGTTTTTCCAAGCAATCAGTGATCAGAAGCAGTGATGTCATAAAGTCCAGTTTCCCGGTTCTGCTCTCCCTCAGGATCTAACCGGATTGCTCCTGCTGAGGTTCATGTCTGAACTGATGGCGTCCAGAGGAGAAGAGATGCAGGAGGAGGAGGACGAACGCGGAGGCAGGCAGAGGCTGATGAGACGACACGTCCGCTTCACCCACCGAGAGCGCAAAGCAGGCTGCCGAAACTTCTTCTGGAAGACTTTCACCTCCTGTTAGCATGAGACGCTTTGGGACCTCTAAACCTGGAGTAATTGTGTTTTTAAACAAGCCACTGCAAAGCAACAAGTATTTTTGTCACCTGAAATGTATAAGTCAAGGTATTTAAACTCTTCTGAAATGAAAGATAATTTTTGATCCTTCATTTACTACATCAGGCAACAACATATTGTTGTTACTGGACCAGGAAAGTAGCATAAATGCATAGAAGTGTCTTAATACAAAGCAATTTGTTCACAAATAACGTGTCGAGATAAATATCCACCCTTTTCTCCACGTTCAATAAAATACTTGGTCTTTATTATTTAACATGTTTATTCAGCCCGCCAAGAAATGGCGCCAAGAGTAAATCTGACACTTGCAGGATCGGTTCACAACATCTTGAAAAGCACACAAATGAAGCCGGCGTAATTCAGGACCGTAAAACGTCGTCTGAGCAACGATGAAACGTTTACCTCAAGTGATGAAAGCGCAGTAAAAATACGTCACGAGGCCAAGTAACAGGAGAAATATCCGAACCGTTTCAGCTAAATTCACAGTCAACCAAGCAGGATTATTACGACACCGAGATGAAAGCCTTGAGGTAAGGCTGTCAAATCTGTAGCCCTTTAGGTTTAAACGCGTACAAAAAAAAAAATAAAATAAAAAGGACGGAAAACAGGGATGCTACACATTTTCCATTTCATGTTCTGCATTTCTGAAGTTTTAAACATTTTAGCTTCTAGGTACAAAAACATTTACTGTCGTTTTCTTTATGATTTGTTCTTATAAGAATCGACAAAATCGTCCAGAAGATCCGTTATGTGACCTGCAATAGCTGTGAAGCTGAGGGGGCGTCCCGGGTCTTAAAAGACTTTCTGCATTAGAGGCCTAAAACACCAATGTGCATAAATCAAAATTAGATTTTATAGCAATTTATCATTCACAAAATTCTGATTATTTGCTTCAGGAAAGTGGAAAAAACAAAGAGTCCATATCAGGCATGGGCAGATTTTTTTTTTTTTTTTTTTTACAAAGTTATGGCATCAAAACAAGAAAAATAGTTAAACTAAAGAGAAGCAAGTCCATGGAGTTTTCTCTCGTTGGATGAACCGGAGAGTAAATCAGTGCTGCCCCTCCCCCACCTGTTGCTGCAGATGGCTGCTGTACTTCCCCTTGCTTACGTTTAAGGCAAATTTGGTTTTCTTTCATATAAATAATTCCAATTATATATATATAAACAATTAGTCATGCTGGGTAAACCGGGGCAGCGCACTTTTATTACCGTAAAAGTAGCTGATTGCAGGCCAGCTACATGTGCAGATAGTCTGACTGTTTCTGCTACTAAACAGCAGAGCGACTAAAAAGGCAATAATATTCTGAATAAGCGAGTTTAGTTAAAAAATTACTCCTAAATCACAGATAATTCTAGGTATTATAATTGCAATCATTTATATGTTATATGTTTTTGGCAGAATTGGAATGAAGCATTGCCATTCTGGAGTGTGTTTTGTGTCATGAAACCTCGGTTGTCCTACCGAGAGTCTCACGCCGGCCCATGCCCAGACTGGAGCTGCTGTGTTTTCTACACCATTTCAAAAGCAGATTCCACTTCTCTCTTTCCCATAAAGGCTGGCTTGGAGCGGTGCAAAGCACAATTAATACTGTCGCTGCCAAGTAGTGCAAGGATAAACACAACCTCACCAGCGTCTCGTCCTGGAATAAAGTCTTTTTGAGGGAGAAATAAGCTCTCGATTAACTTTTATGTCAATCCTAAAAAAAAAGAAAAGAAATACACTTCAACCCCTATAAATTGGGTATAATTTTAACATTTCTGTAGAAATAGTTTTAGGCGAGCAGGTTTTGCTCTTAATGGCACATCGTTGAACTCTTGAGGCTAAACAGAAGTGACCTTTGCCCTGTTTCCTTTGGAAGACAGAAGCATTTGTCATTGCACCTCCATTTCTAATGTAACAGGCAAAAGCATCAACAAAACAACGTCAAACACCCAAAAAAAACAAAAAAAAAAAGCTTAATGTCTTTTCTTAAAAACATTCGAGATCACTTTAGGAGCTAAATGACACGATTCTGCGAGGGCAAACAATCCGACCTGGAGCGTTTTAGGGTTCTGTAGAAGCTTGAGGAGTGAAAACTGGTTGTTTTTAAACTGCACTTCGTCTCGTCTACATTTTCTTGTACTATGAGGGTTAATTACTTCACAGCAAAATTCACCTGCTCTAAAGGCTACAAACCAAACCAGTGCGATATGTACAATCACAGTATTACGTTGTACTCTGTGCTTTTAAACTGTGAGGCATCTCAGTACTTTGATTGTGTTTTTTTTGTTGTATTTTTTACAAAAATGTAGGGTTTTTTTCTGATTATCATAATTTGTGCGACTCCCATGAGATGATATTATGCTAAAACTGAGATATAATTTGTACCGAAATGAACAAAAAGGGAGAGTGGAGCCCAAGCTGCCTGCAGGTCAGGCCACCGTCGTACTAGTCAACGACGCACCGAGAGCGACAAAAACGGTGCGATTTCACTGCAATACCGACTGTCGGTAACAACAAAGAAAAGACGGGGAGGAGGGAGGGGGAAGAAATGTTAACGATGTCTGAACGCTGCGCGGACGCGTTTGTGCCGTTCTCAACGCGCTGACCGGGTCTGGGTGCGTCACAGAGGAAGAGCGCCGTTAGCAGTCGGTGGAGATTTTGGCCGAGAGGTCCTGGATGCGTCGGGCGCTGCAGCTCTTACACAGGATGTGTCCATCCAGCGGGTAGCAGCCTCGACCGTCGCCTTCAGACGACAGCAGGAGGCCGCATTCCTGAGGGACACGCACATTTGAGTCACTTCAAGACAACACCGAGTTAAATCATTAGTTGGTATAAATGTGCAATCAATTTTGGGCTTTTTAATGACACTCTGACGCTTTTTGTTGGTTTTAAACACAGGAAACTGATTCACGTGTTAGGATTTATTGTAGATTTTCTCTAATCCACATCAGGCTGAAATCATACAAGCTCAAATATGTTAACATTATGAGATTCAGACGTTGTTATAAGCCTTTTGAAAATCAGTTTTTTCATTGATTAGCAAAAATCCAGAGTAAATTTCAACTTGCGTTCACTTAATTTTGAGAACCGTTTTATTTATTGCATTATAATTCCCTCCTGAAACAAAGAATAATTCACATAAACTCACTCAACAGCTCGCTCACCTCACAAACGTAGCAGTGAACATGGAAGCTGCGTTCCAGAGCTACGATCCTGACCGTCTCCTCCCGGCCCGGTTCGGGCATGATGGGCTCGCCGCAAACAGAGCAGCGAGGGGCGTACTTCCTGTCAGAGAAACGCGATTCAAAACGTCAGAACCACGCCATTGGCAGAGCGAGGCGCGTGGCGCCGCGGCGTACCTGTGGAAGTCATCTGTGCAGTGTATCTGAGACGTGGCGTCCACCGTGAACGGCACGCCGTCCAGGCAGCAGTTACAGACCACGCAGGTGAAGCAGCGAGGGTGGTAGGCCTTCCCCATGGCCCGCAGGATCCGGTCCAGAATGGGCTTCGAGCATTTAGAGCAGCGCTCCAACGTGCTCTTGAAACAAAACCAGTCGGAAGGATTAGATCAGCTAAAACACAACAAACCTCCTGGTCGGTCGGATCTCGTCTGGTTCCCTCACTTACGATGTAACATTTCTCACAGTAGCTCTTCTTGTCCAGGGCGTAGAACGGCTGGCCTCGCAGCCGGGCGTGGCAGGTGATGCAGTGAAGCACTCCACGTGGAACACCTGCTCCATGGCGATGCAGCCGCTGCCGTCACCCACCACGTTGTCCCCGCAGCGGGCGCAGCGACCTGAGAGCAAACCAGCAACTTAAAGCTTTAACAAAAGCATCCAAAAAAGAAAAATAAAAAAAAAAAAAAAAATAAAAATACCACGACAGAGAAAATAAAACTAAATGTGTGGCACCAAATAGTCCTCTGCAGGCGGTGGTTCATATCGTAAACCAGCTTCTTGGTGATCCGGTCCAGTTCCTCCTCAGGCCTCGATGGTGCTGCCCCCTGCTGGAGGAAAGGAAACAAAAAGTTCTTTGCTTGTTTTTCACATCGAAATTTCAGTTTTTTACAACCTCAAATTTCAATTCAATTAAAAACAAAGGAAAGTTAAATGTTATAAGCCATTAATTAAAATTAATGTTAAAAAATTAAAGTTATTGTACATGGTGGAGTCTGTCAGCAGGAAAGCTCTCCTGTCACAGTTTGTACTGCAGCAAATTTGAAGAAGCCTCTGACTGAAGATGTTCTGTTTTTCAATGAAGAGGATGATCAGGGTTGTCCATAATATTTTTGATTTTCAGTAAAATCTTTCTTTGCATCATCATCATCATCATCTCCAGAGGTCCCCCAGTCGTCACAACTAAACGGGACAGGATTTATGGATTTGCTGGATAAATCTCAACCTTTAAAGGACTTTTTAGTGCAAAACATCTCGCTAAAATTTCACAAATTGATAAGCAGATCAACTCTTAAATTCCTTCTGATTTATAAGCAATAAAATTGGGTATTTCATAGGCTTTTTGGGCACATATGGACAAACTGAAATCAGATTAGGATAAAAATCTACATCACTCAGCTTCTTGAAACCTGAGCATCATCATCCTACCGTAAATAAAAATCTGGAGGGTTTTCTCTAGAGTTACCTAGAGAGGAACTAGACGACTCCCCAAGCCGTGAGGCGGTGACCAAAGCGTGTCGATGCGTTTACCTTGCTGGACTGATAGGAAGGCGTCTGTGCTGTCTGGGTCTTCTCTATCCCTCTCTTCGACAGAGGAACCTGGTTAACTCTTCCTCCGGACCCCGGGTTGTGGCCCTTGTAGCCCACCTCAGAGTGCAGTTCCTGGACCTGCGAGGCCGGGTGCGGCGGGTACCAGCCCTGTTGGCCCGTCTGGGTCTGGGCCGGGGGCCGCGGCGACACGTGCTGACGGGGAGGGGGCGGGGTGTAGGCCTGCTCCGCCTGCCGCCCCGTCTGCGAGTAGGTGACGGGCTGCGCCGTCTTGACCTGG